ATTACGCAACCCCAGTCTTGCCTTTCCTTGGGGGGTTAAACGTTAATGACCCTAGACTGAAAGGTTAGGATAAGTGGTTTCATGACTTGATTTTCATGCTTACAAGCTCATACTTGTTTACGGACTTGCGCAGTCTCGGTCAAGGCTTTCTCTTGGGTAATTAGGTCTTGAGGATCAGATCATGAGATTTAACCTTTGATAACTCTGATTTAGGACCGGTATTGCATATAGACTCTAACACGCACACATACACATTCGCATACTCGAGCAAAAGTAACAGGAACAGTATGAATGATAATTAACCAAACCAACCTATATCGATCTTTCTATGTTTTTAATTTTCTTTTGGCTCAATTTATTCTATATAAGAAGATAGAGCCGGATAGTGTTCTTTCCTTAGTGTTAACGTGAGACTTTTACAAGAATGACACCCAGCTATGATGATGTCCATCATATGATGAGCGAAAGCTCAGCACATTTTCATCCAAAACGAGGGAGGAAGTCTCATGGACTGCGTCAACATAAATATCGCATAAAAGCCAAACGGCTGAAGTATAACGAGATTTATCCGTCCTCATCTGGTGAGATCGATCAACGAATCCCTTCTTCATTCACTTTCATACGAAATGAAAGTCACCCTAACAATCTCTGAAACTATCCACCACTCACAGGTAGTTTCCGCTTAACTTTCTACATTCATTCCTTCTATTCAGCGTGTTGGCCGTTTTCTTGATTTATATCACTTCCCTAATCTTTTGCTTGCTGGGACAGTCTCCATATCCACCTAAGCGTTTGGCATTAGACTAATCTATCTGGTGTCCTGTGCGAGCCATGTGTTCGGCCAATTCGAACATGAATCTTTCTTATCTCGTTTTTGGGTTTGTATATGTATTTAATTCACTTTATTCTACTTCGTTTCTGTTATTTTATTTTTCTAGACTGGTCAATGGCCAGTGCCCAAAAGATTCGTGCTCACGGCCAGCGGAAATGTTTTACCGATGCCCGTTGGTCAGACTCTTCCTTCCGGACACCAGGGCCTAACTGGCCTCAGCATGAGCCAGAGCGCCACCATTTCTGGCCTCCATCATAGTCACCAGCACATTCAAAGTTCGACTCATCACACACAGCATCAAACTATGACTCACATTCAGCCTGGTGGGTCTGGAACTCATGGATCCTCTGACAATTTGATGCTTATGGCTAGAGCCTGTATTGAGAAGTTTGGTTCTGGCCGTGGTAGCCAGTTAGGTGAAACACATTCAACGAATGCATATGCTTCGGCAGTGGCTTCACTGGCTGCGCAGCAGCAACAAGGCCTCTATCGTCATTCGCATATATATACATCTCAATCCAACATCCTCTCATCCTTTCCTGGTTCGGTTGTCGATCTCTCTAGCGACTCAGAGCATGGCGTCCCTCTCAACTTGCTTAAGCAACAGCAACAACATTCAAGCTTGTCTTCCGCACAACAGCAGCAGCCAGCAGCTGTTTGGAGTCCTGCCCGTATGCGTTATCACGCAACACCTGGCTCTTGTAGCCTCGGGGGTGGTCCTCTACCTGACAAAGCCAACAATTCTACTGAGCCTAATCCCTCCGGCTCTACTGTAATTGATTTGTCAGCCAATTCTCCTACTAATGAGTCGTCTATATCTGCCAACTTCTTTAGTCCGGCTCAGCTTGAAGGGACATCTGCTACCGCAGTTAAGGCTGCAGCTTCTACCGTGAGCTCTTGCGGACAGAGTAGTCCACTTCATCTGACCTCTTCCAGTCGCTCAAGCTCAACACCGAATAACTTATCGAGGCAGTCTGCAGCTCTTGGGTTCACCACAGTAAGTAATCCAACTCCCTCCAACATTTCTCTCGGAAGTAGACATGAATCTACCTTAGCATCTGCTGGCCTTGGGCGGTCTATTTCATCTGGATCTGCTGAATACACCAGTTTGGCCAATGAGCGGATTCAAACCACGACCCCATTGAATTCGACAGCTGAAATAGCCACTCCGTCGCCTCTTCCTAATACAACATCTAGTTCTGGCCGTGGTCGCAAGCGGAAAATGGACCGGCCAATGCCAGTCTACTCTGGAGGAAGTATCAATAACAGGTTGGTATTTTTCCAGAATTTCTTTGGATGACGCAGTCCAAGGTTATTCATTATTTCCTTTCCTCTATGTATATATACTTTGCATTCCTAACTATTTATTGAATTTTCACTTTTCTTCAAATTTATCCAGTAATGCATTTGTATCGGTTGCATTAGAGCCTTCACACTTGACCATATAATTTTGCTGCTCTTTATTCTTTTGTTTTATTACCAAAAAATGCGTATTTATTTGAATCAAGATCATCAGCTTAATTTTTTTCCGAATATGCATTTCTATTAATCAATTACTCTCATAATGCTATGCTCAAGCATAAGAATTGAATTAATGTTATCCTGATTTTATGAAATAACTACACTATATCTACGATGATATTACCTACAATACATATTTTAGTGTCTTTCATTTTGTTTAACAAGACGGTTGGCTCCACAAATTTCTCAATCCATTCATCTTGCAGAGCAATTTCCGGTCCCATCATAATTACAGACTAAAGATTGAAATAATAAGGAGCATGATCACCCGAAGCCTACGCCTAAGGGATGTAGAATTCTGGAAGGAGGAGATGGATAAATTGACGAGGATATTCCTCGGCAATAGCTACCCAAGCGATGGGATACAAAGAAACATACAAGCCGCGAAAAGG